AGTCGATCCAACATTCGAAGACAAGACCGGCGTATACTACACCAAATTCGAAGCCATGCTCAGCAGCCTCAGCGGCAAGACCTCCGAAAACGACCTCTGCGTCGAGCAATTCCTCGTCGACAGCGAGAAAGAATGGTTCAAGCGGATGCGCGCAGAGAGACTGGGTCGCGGCGATCGCGCGCGTTCTCAAGACAGCCGAGCGGGTCTGGGTATCAGTCCGCGTCCTGCGTGGCCCCGCGAGAGTCTGCACAGTAACGGCAGTCGGAGTTCGAGTTACTCGCACTACCAGTCTCCGTCTATGCAGGAAAGCGAGAATGATAGCGAAGAAGCTTCGCCACGGCCCTCGGGTGAAGTGGACGAATTCCTTCTCGGTGCGAACTATCAGCGCCCGTCGCTGCTGAAGCGCTGGTTGCAAACGCGGATTGGCGATTGGCCCATTTACTCTATTCTCCTGGCGCTCGGGCAGATTATGGCGGCCAACTCGTATCAGATTACTCTTCTGACTGGGCCTCAGGGACAGGGTCCGGAGAAACTGTATGTTGTTGGTGCGATCTTCATCGTTATGTCGTGTGTCTGGTGGGTCATGTTTCGCACGCTGCCATCGAAGTTTGTTCTCTCCGCGCCTTTCGCAGTGTATGGATCTGCTTTCTTGTTCGTGGGTGTTGCGCCGTTCGCGGAGTTTGGAGTGGCGAGAAACTGGGTGCAGAATGTTGCGACTGGGCTGTATGTTTCTGCTTCGGCTAGTGGCTCGATATTTTTCGCGCTGAATTTTGGTGATGAAGGTAAGTTTGCTCTTCTCCTTTCGACATAATTTGCATGTACTGACTTGTTCAGGTGGCGCGCCCATCAAATCCTGGATCTTCCGAGCGTGCATGATACAAGGAACCCAGCAACTCTACATCACAGCACTCTTCTACTGGGGAAGCACGCTCGCGAATTCGGACGCAAGCAATGCGCTTACCTCTTCGCCCAAGGCCGCGATGATCACACTCCCAATAGCCGGTCTGATGTTCACCATCGGAGCTCTCCTCATCACGTCTCTACCATCCTACTACCACCAGTCTCCAGGCAAAATCCCCTCGTTCTACAAAACACTCCTCCGCAGAAAGCTCGTAGGCTGGTTCTTCGTCATGATCATCCTGCAGAACTACTTCCTGAGCACACCCTACGGACGCAGCTGGGCGTACCTCTGGTCTTCCCACGCAGCACCCCAATGGGCGATCGGCCTGCTCGTCCTGGCCTTTTTCGTCATTATCTGGGCAGCCTTCCTCTTCCTCTTCGCCAAGCTAAGCGGCAGCCACTCCTGGTTCCTCCCCATCTTCGCCATCGGCCTCGGCGCACCCCGCTGGGCCCAAATGCTCTGGGGCGTCTCCGGCATCGGCAACTGGGTCCCCTGGATGCCGGGCGGTCCCGTCGCTGGTGCGCTCGCCGGTCGCAGTCTGTGGCTCTGGCTCGGTCTGCTCGACGCTATACAGGGTGTTGGGTTTGGTATGATGCTCCTGCAGACCTTGACGAGGATCCACATCGCCGTGTCGCTTGTCCTAGCCCAGATTCTGGGTACGCTCGTTACGATGCTGGCGAAGGCGACGGCGCCCAATGCGAATGGGCCTGGAGATGTGTTTCCGGATTTCTCGGCGGGAGTGCTGAAGGGGTTGAGTAGGCCGTGGTTCTGGATTGGGTTGGCGGCGCAGTTGGTGGTTCCGTTGGGGTTCTTTAAGTTTTTTAGGAAGGAGCAGTTGAGTAAGCCGTAGGTGGGTTAGTGTAGTAATGTAGCTGTTTTGAATGTAAGCATGTCAGTTTCACTTCAAAACGGGTTTGGTGATGGCAGGTATGTAAGAAGTACAACTTTGCAACATATAAAGCACTATGGGTATCTTAAACTTCCTCCTTCTCCTCCTTCCATTCCGGATGAAAACGTTTCATATGACGAAGCATGCCATCTTTCCTCGAAAAGCCCGATCCCCCAGGGCCATACTCGCATGACGTAACTGGGCAATGGAAGGATGGTTTCTCTTCGTCCTGATCACCCAGGTGGGTTGCTTCGTGCCGCTTGAGATCCTTGGGATACAAGAAAGACTTGTCACACTGCCCACATTTGTGAGGCCTCTCAGACATGTCTGTGTGAGTCCTTTGATGTCGTAGCAGGTCTGCTCTTTGAGCGAATTCCCGCGCACAACCCTGCTCAAGGCATTTATGTTTGATCAAAGAGGGCTGGCTGTGTGCTAGTGCATTCGATGGATCATGCACCCTTTGCATATGATCCATTAACTTGTCTTTACGTGGGAAGCCATGTGATGCTCTGGGACATCCGGGAAACGCGCATAGGTATTTTGGCGGATCCGGATTGTGAGCCGCAGCCACGTGTCTACGAAGATCGGCATGCCTGTTGAAGGTTATATCGCAGTCGCTACAGCGGTGGCACTCTACGGGTTTGTGAATAATTCTAGTAGTCGATCCGCTTGCCAACGATGGAAGTGTCGATTGTGCGCTGTTCGTATCGTCTACGTTCAAACCATTTGATGAGAGTGTGGACAATGTAGAGATATGCCCAGACTCGTCGTCACGATGGTCATTGATGACTTCAGCGGAACGGCCCTTCCGCTTCCTCTCTCGGTATGGTCGCCTTGTAATCGATTTGCTAGCCAAATGAGGATGTTGTCTGCGATAATGCTTGAGACGGGCATCTGGACGCTTGAATGACTTTGAGCATCCATCGTCTGCGCACATGTACTCACGGGTATCTGCAATGTGGGCGTGGTGTTTGAGTCGCATATGTCGTCGAAGATTGCCCCTGGCATACACTCCACTAAACAATTGAGTACAGTCCAGGGCATGGCAATACAAGGTTCTCGAACCAGATACTGAGGCTGCAGTCCTATGGCGAGAAGGTATGCCTGCCGAGACGTTGTTTCCATCGAGATCAGGGGATGACAGGCGAATGAACGGCGGCGCGTCTGGGGCAAGGTTACTCGCCTGACAGCGCATTGGGATGGTCCCTAGGTCATTGCGAGAAAATAGGTCATAGATCGGCGCTGTGGAGTACGTGAAAGACATCATTCGCTCCGGGTCAGATCCACCAATCTGAGCTGTAGCGCTCGAGGAAGCTTCCTCGTGGTCTGTGTACCCTCCACGAAATGACCAACCCTGATCATGAGAGAGCTCATAAGTACCAAACCGAGCTCCAATAGTGTTGCTTAACAGTGGGACATCTGAAGACCCCACTTCCAGAATCTCGCATGGGAGTGATTGGTGCTGCTCGTAGTCATGCGATCCGTGTGTTCCAAATGCCGTATCCGCTGAGCTTCCCGCCTGGGATCCAGTATACTGGCAGTCCCCAAGATGTGGTAGAAAATTGATCGATGAACGTTGACCCTGACCATGGGAATAGGGATCCGGATGAATATCAAGCGCATTGCCCATCAAGTCATCGCTACCGTAGAGCGAGGTTGGAAGCCATGCATCGATCCCCCGTACGAGTCTATCATTGTGGTTCGGCGTGGATGTTACGCCTGAGAACGAGGTTCTCTCGTCCGGGGAATACACGTTCTCGGAGGTAGCAGAGACGAGGTCTCGATCGTGGCTCATCGCAGGAATTTGTGTTTGTGTCGCACTTTCGGTCGGTCAGCGAGGCGCGCTCATTGCTGCTGCGAGCGGACATACCCATGGAGATGGAGCGAGAAACCTTAGATCGCGCATGTGCAGATGCATGCGCTGCATCGCGACCGGTCCCCTTGGTGTGATAGTGGAGTTGTAGGCCTAGGTGTGCTGTTTAGAAGCGGTACTGTGTTGGAACGAGGGTGCGTCACTACAGGACAGGCGGCGGCTTGGCATCGATCATCAGTTGGGTTCGCCCTTCTGTTCAGGCCCGGGGCCCCACAGTCAACATGTGAGCTCTTCTAAAATCGACGAAGGCTTGTTCTCACGGCATCAGGATGTTATGTTACTGTTTAACAATTGACAGTGAATTTCTGTTCGAGCTGAACGCTCGACATGTGGCATGATCAAATTCTTTGCCCGGGTATTGTGTACAGATAGGCGCTCCCAACCAGCACACGAGAGGAGCAAGCGACAAGATTAAACAGCTTCCATGAAGGCAATCTATCCACAACATGAGTTCTGGATGCGATATAAAGTGTTGAATCTCCCGTGAAAGTGTTTAACATTTTGCTCGGCTCCCGAAAGGAACCTTGGAAGGGTGACGTTTCAGCCGAGTCGTGCTTCACATCCCCACGACATCACGACAAAGCCTTGTCAAAGGTTGGGCAAAATGCTGTTTTGTGCCTCTAATTAATATGCGCAAATATTACTTTACAGTGGGATAATTGAGCTTTGTTTGCGCGATTTGCAGCAATGCGAAGACATGCTTTTCTCCTGGCATACTTCGATCTATCTTCGCCCTCGCACCCTGACCAGTGAAACGGAGCGTAGCTGGTCAGGGAGGATAAATGGCGTCTGCAGTGCCTTCGCTTCGCTTTTGAAGGGCTGCCCGAGTTTTCACATAGTGTTTGCGGGCTTGCAGCTGGCAGCTAGGGTATGTTGGGGTGCGAAAAAGACCAAGCAGTCAATCGCTGCCTCACGGCTACGTTCGTGACTTTATTCGCAAGACCAGACTTCCCCATTGTCTTATATGCTCCCGGAAAATTGTTCGAGGTGTGCGATTTCGTGAGTGCGATGTGCTGTCGAAGCAGGTTGTTAACGTGAGGGGTCCTGACGAATGAACGCAGAACGCGTCTGATAGGTGGCCAAGCCTCACAGCCCTCACCGCCGGTGGCTTCGTGGGCCCTCGAGGAGAGGAACCCCCTCTCCATCTGTGCTACGACGGAACGACTACAGCCCCAGCTGCACTGATCAACATCGCAGACATACCCTGATCCAAGGCCCACGACAACCTTGCCCTAGTAGAGCCGAGTCTCTCCCGAGTCCAGGTGAGTGGTGAGCTTATCACGCCGACGCCCAGCGATGACGATGACAGCGCCAGCTAAAACATCGTAGACACCAAGATGCCCGTCTTTACTCGTGTATTTGTGCCCTTCAATGGTGAGTATACGTTACCCAAGCAGACTCTGTCAGACCCAGCGAACGTGCTTCAGGCATGGTGAGTCTCAGGGCCAAGCTGACAGCCGCTACCAGGCACCGACCAAGGCAATGCAACCTTCACGCCCCCGGGCTCGTACACCCAGTCTATCGAAGACGAGAACATCTGGTGGAAATACATGTCCGGGGCGATAATGCTGATTGTTGGAGTCGGAGGCTTTGTCGTCGCCGTCTACGTATGTGTAGGCAAGCGAAGAAAAGAACGTGCCGAGCGAGCCTGTACGTAGCTGGTGATCAGTCTTCCTTACCGTCGTGGTGTACGATGTCCGCTACATAATGACTAGAGCTTACGTCCCACTAGCCCGTAATGCGCCCGCGGTGGGTCATCCCCCGAATGCCCCGGCTGAACTGGGGAATGACAACGAGATGAATTCGATCCACAGCGACCCACCGCAGCCCCACGAGGCACCAGAGAACGCCGCTGAGCTACAGCAGGTACACGATGAACCAAACGAGCATGTCCTCGAGGGTCCGGAGGGACGCGGTCGTGATGCCGTGGGGCGTGGTGACGCTGCTGGAGGCGCCCCAGTCGAGCCAAATGTGGCTGTAGCCAGCGGAGGTGCTTGAAGATTGTATGTGTCTCCTTGGGCCTGGACCGTGATATTGGATCCATGTGCGAATGGTGTTGACGGTTATTCGAGCTGATGATTTGGCGTTTTCAGCGGGCGAAGTTGTCCTGGCGTTCGAGAGAGGGTCAAGTAGTATTGAGCAGCGTCAGGGAACAACAGAGGTAAAATCGCGCTTGAACTCTTTCCGACTTTGCTGGAAGGCCTGTCCAGATATAGAACGACCAATCAACGTTTCGCTTCGTACTAAGGCGCCATGCCGGATCTGGTCAGTCTGAAGACCATGTTGACGTTGTGATGGCTTCGTTCTACGATTAGCTTCTGGTGCTGACAGCTTTGGTGAGGAAGGCGACTGCTGTGATATGCATGTATCTTGGAGAAAAGATGCCGAGTTGCCTTTCAAGCTGGCGGCGTGGACACGAAGAGGGCGTTGCCTCAGAAGGACTCTTTGTCGCTTTGCCCTTCCAAGAGTGCGGCCACAGAAGGACTCTTTGTCGCTTTGCCCTTCCAAAAGTGCGGCCACCGCCCAACCAAATCAATAGAATCCCTGAAGGACTCTCTGTCGATGTCGTTGCCCTCAAGGTGTTGCGGCCTCCGGCACGTAAGCTCCAATCATATCGCGCATTTTGTGGGGGGGGGGGGGGCCCCCCCCGGGCGCCGTGCCGAGGGC